ATTACAGTTTAGGGCGTTGAACTTTAGCCAGTCGCCACTTTATGTCAATCCTATATGTACAAGTTAGCATTACATAGCATGAACAGAGTGTGTTCGAGCATATGAAATAACGAATGACTCATCCGAAACCAGATTTCACGACGTTTGCACTGCTTTCTTTCCCACTGCTGGTTGCCTAAGGCGCGGGGAGGCATTTACGCAGGCCCCAGCACCATGGTATTTGAGCACATGCACCGCCCAGATGGATCTGACATTATTTTGTTCTCTGGAGTCCATAGGCCACTGTGAGCAAGGAGCGGGTGCAGTACGACGTGAAATCCGGTCTTGGAGGAGTATGTGTTATCTGGGATGGCATATTATGTTATGGCGTACTCTAAGCTATGAGTTCGAAGAAACTTTCCGCTGCATAAAATATATTAATAAGAGAAAGATCTATTTACCACTCACACTGTATGGGTGCTCGTTAATTACTACTGGGAAGTTAGCCCAAGAACAAGAACACAACATCGTCAACTGTGTTTCATGTAATTTTGGCTGAAGAGAACTGATGATTCAGTCCATACCTGGCGCCGTTGTGCGATATTATATGTTGTGTGTTTTGTGAAGAAAAGTTTCTCTTATGCATACTGCAAACTCATCTTCTCGCTGAGTATAATCTGCTTGTGCATTAGTTTAAGCTTGAGAGTTGTGACAGTAGGAAACCGTTTGTCATGCAGAGTAGATTCTAGTGCATTATCATATCATTTTAGTCGCATGTTAGGGACGAAAGGTTCTTATAACCACGATGGACTAACTAAATACTTTGGTCAGGGGTGGCGAATCTAGGGATGTCTTTAGGCAAACCGGTTAAGACGCTGATTCCTTTTGAGTCACAATTGCAGCTGTTTTAGGAGGCCTTTCGAAAGAATAGCCAAGGATCCCTGCGATTCTTCGATGAAAGGTTTCGTTCGGCAAGCACGTTTCGGTCTTTCCCTGTTGTGCCGCGGCTGCGAAACAGGCATTGAAGCCCTATCAATGTCCGTTGGTTCTCCTTTTTACGTAACATCGAAAAGCAGTGTGAAACTCGAGAAGAACTTTAGACTCAAAGTTTCGGATGAGAAATTAATCAAAGTAAAACAGTTTCTTTAGTAGTATAGGTTAAATTTCCCTGATCCGAAATGCTTAGCTCCGAGACTGTTTTGGATTTTGGGTTTTTCCGGATTTTGGAACACATGACATTGTGGAGTTGAAGAAAAGCAAAACTTCGGTGAAGAAGCTCATAACAGGTCACAAAGTTCTGAAATATAATATATTAAGGTTCCTATCCTGTGAGATTGAAGTTGCAAATGTTCCGAAATGCGGCGTAGCAGTCCCTTACAAATCACAAGAAAATGGAAACTCAGTTTTTCCACAAATTCAAACGATCCGAGTTTATTTGCAGTACCCTATGATCACATACGGAAAAATATTTTCGTACAGCTTATACAGGTCGGAAAGGAGGAGAGTTGAGGAAGGGGAATGAAGAGGGTGGAAGTTGGGAGTTAAAGGGGTTATTTCCATGATAAAATGCTAGAGTGAAATTAGTGTTTATTTGACGTGTTCCTCCGTTTGATCACTCCGGCGATGAATAGTGACCAAATGTGCTTAAGAATGATACGTGGAGAACTTCCGATGAGGTTCGATCATCCGGCTCTCGTTAGGGACAGAAGGAGAATCTTTTCTGATTAACCAGGTATAAGGAGATACGAGAGAAAGTTAAGAGGAAGAGGGACGGGAAGGATGTTACGGCCGTTGTTCTTATTGTCCAAAGATATTTCAAAAATACTCAAGATTGAAAAGAAAGTTAACACAGTGTTAATAATTTCGAAATATTTAGGAATTTTGGATTAGGGATAGTCAGCCTGAATTTTGGACTAGTTTAAAAAGAAATCAGTTTGAAATTTTTTCATTAAGTGTCTCTTATCTGAAGAGAAGAGTGTATTTACTGGTTTATATCCCACAAATGGGAAACACTTTGTATTGCATTTAATTTAGATTTTGTTTCCTTTAGTGTCCCCGAAAGAATACGACAAATATATAACTTCTGTTAATCGCGTAATAAACACAATGCAATATTAATAATTAATTGCAATAAAATTAATATTTTCCAAACGGGTTTATCGGTTAAGAAATGTGCGCTTAATCGTTGCATCGATTTCCTCCTATGGCGTACGGTTATCGTGTTAATGGAAGACCGGTACTTTTTGGCTGTGTGCTGCCAAACAAAATTAACAAGCCACGGTAGAAAATTCTAGTTCAACTTTCGAATTCATCCCGTTGTTCTCTCTATGGCATCGGAGACTGATGGTGAGTCCTCCCTTAAAGTAAGCACGGTGTACAATCGATTATCGTGCTGGGAGGAGTGTAATGAAAAAGGCAACGATGCAGCGCAGTATGCTCACCGCTGGCATGGAACGATGGTCTAACTTGCCGTATAACGTGGCTGACGGTCGACGAAGAATTACAACCGGTAGCTGCAAGGCAGTTGTTAAGAACCTGTCCATGGAAAATGTCTCTGAAAAGGTGACTTAGAACTTGTTCAGGATTTTCGTATGTCGAGATCTTAAGTTGATATTTGCGGACATTTAGTATTTTTCCAGAAATGCCATTTTCTTGAGCATAATCGAAGTATAGCCATTCTAAAGTTAGCTAACTTATAGTCGTCGCGAATTATACTAGTTTTTATTGGCACTTTGTTGTAGCGCTGTACACATTCGAAACTCTATGGCGTGAGGGGTAGCGCAACGATGCACTCTTTTGGCTGAACTGACGGACCTTCAAATCGTTAAAGACGGGTGAGAATTTTTAAAAGTGGTATTTTATTGTATATATTAGTTTGCTTCTTGACTACTGTTGCTGTTTCTTTGTTTACAAATGGATTTAATCGTAATTTTATTTGGTAGGGTGATCGCGGTTCAGTGACACTCATTTAACGATGTCGTCTCGCAAGATCACACCGGTTCCCAGTACGGTGAGCACGATCGATTCCCCACCTACTG